CCCCCCCCCCCCCCCCCCTTCGAGCGACGTGTGACATCAGCCGCGCGGCCCTGGGTTTCAACACGTCGTCTCAGAAGGCTGGACAGGAACCGACAGTGATGCAACGGGGGCAATAATGCGCCACAAATCGATGCAATATTTCCGCTTCGGAGCGTTTTGCAACAAAGCGGGCCGCCGCACGCACGCCGCCGGCCGCTGTACGCTGCCGCGAGGTGTCCAAGTCCCCGAAATAGTCCCCCCTCAGGTAGAACCGGGAGCGGAGGTTTTTTTCGGGCGTTATCACCCGGAAACGAAGAAGAAAAGAAGAAGAAGAAGAAGAAACGCAAACATTAAGTCTCTTAGGGGCCTACCTGTTCCTCCTCTGCCGACAAAGTAGCTGCCATGATATCCCGTCTGCTCTCCGCTCTCCGAGACGTGTACTTCTCCTAAAAGCGGGAGATGACGGAGATGTTTGCGCCTGTCCCTCGAGTAATGTGGGGGTTTAGGGGTTGTCCCTCTCCCTAAAAGTTGAAGGCATCTGAGCTGCTGCAGTGTGAGCTGAAGGTTTCTCCACTCGCCCCCCCACCGCCACCCCCACACCCCCCCGGTACTCTGTTGCTGCGGTCCACGCAGGCCAATTAGCACGAATTCGCCATCCAAAAAACACGGGGAAAACTGAAGCCGCCGGTGGGTCAAATTTCTCCGCGGAGAGGGAAAACAAGACAGGGAACTTGGAAAAAAGAAAAAGGAAAACAACAGTCAAGCAGCTTGACGAAAGGTTTGCTTCAACTCGATGGCCATGACGGGGTTCGGACCGTGTTCTGCGGCTCGTCCACCAAACGTTACCCGGAGAAGAGAGCCGCGGCCGCCCGCTGACTCCTCCATACCATGAATCGCAAGTTTTTAGCTCTCAACGTCGCCTTTATGCTGCGAGAGAGCGACACACACACGAGCCAGAACAATGAGAGAGACTGTTGAGGCCGTCTTTCGGCGTGTTGCTGTACCCCCTGCTGGCCAAAAAGCAGAAAGGGACGGGACTGGACTCGAGCCCCCGCTTTCATTCATAAAAATTCTAAGTGAGACCGAGGCTAGGAGTAGAAAAACACACTGCCGGACCTCGAAAGGAAATGGTTTTCTTACAAAGTTAGCATTCGGTGACCTAAGACGCAACGAGCCCCTTTTGTTGGACGTTGTGTTAGCTTAATAGAAAAATAAGTAGAAATTTTGAAGTTGAACCGTAGGTTGTGGTAAAATAAACAAAATACAAATCTAAATAAATAAATCCCTGAACTCATCTCCCATGCTATATATGCCTAGACTGGGCTATAGTTAGCAACTGGTTAGCTTAGCATACTTTTGTACAAAGACAGGAAATCCTCCCCCTCAAAAGATAAAAGGAGACACTGAGACAAATTCAAATGATTCTGCGCTTCAGCCTTTGAATATTAGACCATTGTATTTACAAACTATCTACAACAATAATTCGTTTGGGTTTAGTGACAACCTATTATTGACTGGTGGCTTTTACACCTGGGCTTTAGCAAAATTCTCTCTTATTTCCCTTCTTAATTGATCTTTTGCTAAGAAATGTACAACACTAAAGAAATTTACAGTTGGATTTTTGTCACTTTAAGAGGTTTAGCTTCAGTTTACAGTTGACTGTTTTGTGTTTATACTTAGCTTACTGATAGCCAATTTTTAAATAGACCACACAAAAGGTATGTTATTAACCAACACACTGGCTATGTATAGGTTCTTGTTGACAGTTCTAGTTCCTAGTCCTTGTTTGCTTTAAATTAAACCGAACCCTGACAGACATGATGACTTTTGGGAGGCCTTCTGTGGTCGACATGTACCTACAAAGCTAATTCAAATATGACCGTGTTTGTGTATGAATTAATACTCTAATTTGCGAGTCGGGTAAATGGGAAGCTTGTGTTTGATGCTTCTGTTGTTCACATGGTTATATTTGTTTGTGGTTAACAGATTGAGATTTTATCAATTTTCAACATATGACTTCATGGCCACAGTCCCCTATTTATACCGTTCTGCAAATCTTTACTGAGCTAGAAATCTATCCCACATCATAACTACAGTGAGCACAACTTTACGGAACTAATATATTTAAAAGAATGAAATGGGAATAGCTAGTAGCTGTAATTTGTTGCTGCAATAATAGCGTTGTAATCAGTAGAATTTATAGTTCATGCATCCCTGGGGCTACATTATAATCCAGTTCTTGTCACTGGATTTGCATAATATAGAAATGAAATAGTACCCAAAAGCATTATACAGCAATTTAATATATATATATTTATTATACAGCCCAATTTGACATGATTTGCAGACTTTCTGCATGTATCTAAGGATTATTACTGGTTGCTGTTTCTTCAGGATTTTAGTTCTACTGCAGTCTGGAGATTGTGTGTCCTGTAAGACAATTATTTCTTCTCATTAGTTCATTCTTAATGAGAATTTACCAAATCTAAAGAGCAAAACTTTGGAAAGACCCATTCATGCAGTGTTTAACTTCACATCATACATACATGTGCAACCTCTACACACACACACAGACCAGAAGACTATTTGTTTTTGATGGAAAGGGGGGACAATTATAGGTGCAGGTTTATTTATTTTTTTCCACAAAAAGAAAACCACCCAACAATAGGTAAATTGTAAATAAGTAGGCGTGAGAAAGTCTGTCTTGAAAACCAAAGGGAAAAGGGAGTGGACAACAATGGACTTCCTTTCAAACAAGCTGACGTCACATCCTGTGGGAAAATGTGATTGGTAAACCTTAAGTCCAGTCCTTTAAAAAAATAAAACACAAACAGATTCGAAAGCATCAAACATTGAAGAGATAAAAGCCCTTCTTACATGCATGGACATGATAAATTTAGAAGAAATCTTGCAAGGCTCTTATAAACCCAATACCTTTTTCAGATGTTTTATATGGTGACAATCACAGAGCAAAACTCAAATCAGTTTTTTTTACTTCTGTCATCATTTTTTGAAAAGTTGCATGACCCACAGCAGTTCCTCAGGTGCCTTATCACGCAGCTTTCACAGAGAAAAAACCTGAAGTACATGAAACCGGTTAACTGTGAATCAACAGGTGCATAGTTCCTGGAAAGTGATGGTTGCTGCTGAGTCAGAGCTGAAGTCTTACTGAAACCACAGAGTCGAGCGCTCTCTTTCACACTCCGATGAGTACCTTTTTTTTTTTTTTCCAGAAATCTTGCTTACACAGCTCAATTAAACTAAGTAAAGCTTTTTTATTTCTAAGCGTTGGAAGTCACATTGGAGCTTCTGTTCCTATGGCAATTTTTTTTAACCATTTGACCAGGCAGGCCGAGGAAAGTGTCTTCCAATCTGTCCAGTTTGACAGCATCTAGTGTCGGGACTTGTGCCCTTAATGGCTGAGCCTCTCCCACTGAGAAATGAGACACATTAAGTGAGGCACGCACATTTCTTTCTCAGATGCATCATGCACCTTCCTCTGCTTCTTTGATCTCCGTTCGTTTCCCAGAATCGAGGGGACGAACAATCTTATTTTAACCTGTCAACGTTCCGTGTAGGTGGTGAGAGCAATTGCGATACCATCATTACAAAAAAAGTGGAAAATAAGCAGTTTTTTTCTTGTCTTTTACTGGTGGAAAAAAAGGGTGTTCGCACGAACTGAAGTTGCATCACATCTTTTGACAGCGTGTCACACACATCCATGTGAAGCTGCCAGTGGTAAAGATAGGTGGGATTGTAGTATTAAGTCAGTTTTAAAGTTTAACCCCTTAAAGCCTGATCCAAGAAGAAAAAAAAACTGAAAATTACTTTTTTTTGGCTTGAAGTATTTATTTGGCCTTTTATCAAAATATGTAAAAAATAAAAGAAAGAAATACATTTTTAATATTAATAATTTATTACTATGCGATAAGTCAAGATTATATTTTGTGTAGTCTTCTGACCCCTGTTATCAGGTGTATCTGATTGTGTACAATAGGATTTTGAGCAAAGTTTTTACCATTAAATTATGCAAAAGGTGTCAGAAACAAAACATTTCAGAAACCGTTTGTATCAAATATGATACATTTGGCATTATAGGGTTTAACTAAAATGTACCCGTGCCTGCAAGTTGATGGTCATTAGTAAAGACAATAATCGGTGAAATAGAAAGTTACATCTTTGAATTCTTATATGCCAGCTAATAATTGGCATAGTGACTTTTCCATGTTGTAAAATCAGGCAATTACAACGTTATATGGAGAACCTTTCGATTTATGATTTATCATTATTTTACAAAAAAAAAAGCAGACAAAGGGCAAAAGCATGAAGCGAACCCGATGATTCAACAACCTATTGAATTATGATTCTTATTGCCACAAAGCAACTATCTTTTCTAGCAATAAACTGAAGTAATAATTTCCTGTCTGTAGCATTTTGTTGCTGTTGTTTTGGAACTCTTTTCTGTAGAATATTTTTGACTTCTTTCAGGTTTTCAGGAACTCACTTGCTCAGTGAGAGGTTTTTGGGTCACCTGGCTGAAAGACAACACCCGTCCACCCCTCCTCTGCTTAAACAGCATTGTTCAAGAAGGTTTGTCCTTTTTAAAATATTTTCCTGAGATGCAAATTTGTCAATCCAAGCGGTATCCCTTTTTGAGAGGTGACACTTCGGTAACCTTTTCCAAAGAAACCAGTTTGGTCCTTTTTTTTTTTTCTTCTCTTGAACTTTTGCAGTTCACAAGCTTACTTAGATCTGGGGAGTCTAAGATGTGGCTTTCTGTCCCCTGGAGGGACTTTAGCTAGGATATCCACTTCTAGGAAGACGTTTTTTGTCAATAGGATAATAGATTACAAATGGTTTGGAAATGGCTTTATTATCCTTCCTGCATGGATGAATAGGAACAACTGTCTCTTTAAGAGGTTAAATGTTAATAGTATCCCTTTCCCAAGACACAAAAAACCTCGAAGAGCCTTGATTTTATAACCTTTGTAATCTCTTTCTGGTTTTAATTTCTCTGAAGATGTGTTGCTGAAACCAAATTCAAAGTCCTGCGAGTGACTCGAGAGTCTTTTCCTGTTGACGGTTCTTTGCTCTGCACAGTTCCGCAAATGGCCCAGTGACCTCAGTTCAGAGGGGGAGGAGCTGCTGGTGAATAGTGCTGACAGCACCGAGTCATGTGTCAGCACACGCCGGAGCATCAGTGCCCGTGCGGTGGTGCTTACATGGTGGTCGGATACGAGGTGTTTCAAAGTTCATGCAAAAAACTCTCATCACATGAAACTTGGGAGCCAGCTGGAAAAATTCATCTTAAATCCATTTTTTTCTTTCAGAGATGAACGCAATTAAAAAAATGAAAAAAGTAATTTAGGAACCGTAGAGAACTTTTATTTAGGTTTATAAAAAAAGAGCATTTATTTAGAAAGGTACACTTTTAAAACATCTGCAAGACAAATTTAGACTTAACATAAAACTGTAAAAGTCCCTGTCACTGACCAGCGTTGTGTTCTGATCAGCCAGCCTTTTTTCCACCTTCCAAAACACTAAGAGGTCCTCTTCCTTAATCTTTCCTGAAACAAACCCCCTGCTAAAACTACTATTTTTGATGAGTGGGCATCGCTAAAAGTTCCAAACACTGTCAACTAAAAATGCTAGGGATGTTTTTTTTCCCATGAGACATCCACTTTAAACCTTGTCCTTTCATCTCACGCAAGGCACCCCCCGCCTGCTTCATCGTGCTTTTCTATTTTTTTTTAAAACCGTCTTTGATGTTAGGGGATATGCTTACACTGTTAAACTTCAACTACAATTGCAACTTGTTGAGCAATCATCCACCAGAAGGGAGTTGTTCCCCCACTTCTGCAGATGCTGGTAAAGCTAAGCGAGGTCTTCAGCTCTACCTGTATGCGCTCAGAGGGTGTCCGAAGCTGCGCCGGACTAGAATTGGCTGTGGCTCTTGATTGGCCGGATCTGAAGAAAGCATTCAACAGACATTTTAAAGAGGCAGCGGCTGGCTGTCGCCTCCTAAAAGCCCGGGTTAAAGCTTTTTTTTCTAGATGAGTGTCCCACTCAGACTTCCATGCTTGCCTCCTTAATTGGCTTCTGATTGAAACAGGTCAGGGGGTCCTCGCTGTCCTGGCTCGGCGTGGACAGGTACTCTAACTCGTAGCCTCCGCTGCTGTTGGCCGGGCGGACTTCGCTGGACGCTTTCTTGTTCTCCAGGATCTGCTGCATCTGGTGGCCGGCGTAGTCGGGCTTGGCTGTGAGGTGCCCCTCGGGAATCTCCACGCCCAGGATGTCCGTGACCATGTAAGGACGAAGCCAGCCAACCAGGGGCGTGGTTCCGGGGGTGTAGTGGGTCTGACGGTGGTAGAAGAGAAGCCCGTCCACCTGCAGCCAGAGGATCAGAATTCAAATGATTAAAGAAGCTGTGGTTTTTTTTTTTGCTCTAAAGAGAGATATTATTGAAGGTCTGTCCTCACGCTGAAGCTGTACTCGGCTGCCAGAGCGTTCCGGATGGACTCCGCCGTGCAGTCTGAGCTCTGAAGACTCACAAACTGGAACTGTTGGGGCAAACCAAAGCAGACCATGAGTTTTTAGTTTCAAATTCCTCTCTGATGAATTTACTCAACTAAGCCTGATTTAGCTCTTACTACACGAGTGCTGAGGATTAGGTGTTGGACCTTAAGCTCAAAGTCAACTCAAACCTTTGCGGAGCACCACAACCTTCAAGAGTAGCAAGTATCCCTCTATACAGAATGCTGTAACTGGGTTTTCCTTGTCTTCTATCATCTTTAGGAATGTTGGGTTAAAGACCAGGACTGAATTTTATCGCACATGTGGAAACAAGGTTCGGTGAGGAATAAGAAATAACAAACGACTAAGGAACTACAGAAAGTAAAAAATGGTCTTCTTAATTTAGCGACTGATGCGCTCTCCCTTGGCAAAGTTTTGACTGGTGTTTCCAAAGTCTTTGGAAATAAGGGGTTACTGCGAACAGTTACAAAGTCGAGTCATCACTTTTAGGCAACCTCTCTGTCCTGATGGGAGCGGCCCCTTCCAGGATGATGTCCACGAGTTACTACATGATGTGATGAGTAGGGAAATGGAATGAATGAAAAGATATAAGCTTTGCAGTTCACAATCCTGAATTTAACTCAAAATTCAACTCAGCACCTCAGACCTCAGAATGAAGTATGTTCGTGGTGAATGGAGCTCCATCCCTGGATTTGCAGATTCTGGGCACAGTTAAGCTAAAGTGTAACTCAGTGGCCCTGTATTTTTTATTTCCCCTTAATTGTCACTAGTATGCATATGGAAGTTGATGTAGAATCCTGGACTAAACATGGTGCATTCGAGGGTAAAAGAGTGGCCTGGCGATGCGGATACCCACAGGGTTGCGTTTCGCGATCTCTGATAGGCCGTCTGTCTCCTGAACCTTAGACTGAAGCCAGAAGAAACGGAACTCAGTCTGTTGGTGAGAAGGAAACAAAAAGCAATCTAAAAAAAAAGAAAAACAACTTATTTTTTAAATTCCAACAAAAGCAGTTGGCAATACAAAGCACATCTGCGCCCCAGACTCTGCAACTTTTGCAATTAGACCCGCATTCCTGGCCTGTTTGAGGATCAGGGAGTGCACTCACTGGGCAGTCGTACACCGGGTGGCCCCTCCAACACATGACATCCAGAATGTAGAATGTTCTGTTCACCTCGCTGTAAATGCAATCCAGGATCGTATAGTCTGCTAGAGCACAAACAGAATGAAGACTTCATCTTATTCCCACAGCTAAAAACTACTGTCTGTTATTAAAGACACAGGGAGAAAGTGAAAGTGAACTAGCTCCTTAATAGGAGCTAATTGACCCATTTGACATTTATCTTCCCCCATCAATCTCCCTAGTAACATTTCTTTAAAATGTAGATTTCATATAATCTCAAATGACTATAACAATTCAACTCAGTAATGCCTTTTAACTACTATGTTTTACCCCAGCGTCCTTGATAAAAACACACCCAGTTACGGTACCTTTGCCCATGGCAGAGTTGTGCCTGTTCCCCCCGGGCAGCAGGGACGGGAAACGGTTCACACAGTAGCCACTTTTGGTATACGCTGCCGTGGATCCCTACAAGAAGAGGGAACCGTTCATTCACGATCACTAAGAAAAGACATTTTTATCACAATTTTGTAAAATATGCTCTCTGGCCACCACTTATTTCTTAACCGACCGAAATGCAACAGTGTCTTCAGCCAGAGGTTTCTTCAGCTGGATCAAGAGAATATCACTGGTGATTTCTGTCCGTAGTAAAAACATAAACAAACTGCTTAGAATGACTCCAGGCTGTGGCCATTACTTTGTTTATTCCTGTTTTAGGACTGACTTTAATCACAGTACATCTGGCTAACATTGTGTTAGAGTTGGCCAGAGTATTGCAGAGTTTCAGCAGAAAGACTCATTACAGCATGGACCTCTGGCCCATGTGAGAGTGGTTAGACCTGTATGATAATATAATATGTTTTCACTGGGTTGAAATAGATGCCTTTCTTCATTCCTCTCTCTCAAACCACCTGTCTTGACTGTCCACAATGTGTATATAACTGTCCTTAAAAGTTAGCCTCTTATCCTTGAAATGGAACTTAGATGCTGATTCTTGGTCTGAAATGCTGGCTCTCATTTGCTGTTTATTTGGCCCATCCTTTACAGATGTCTGCATAATAGTTGCTGCATTATGCTGGAAATACAGCACAGCTCGGTTTTTACTTGGGTGCCTCGTCCTTGGGATGGAGATGGAGTGGTCTCTGCCTGAGGCTGTTTTTAAGATATTTGAAGTGCACAGAATTGACATGTTTGAAGAAGACTCGCACGGGTTTCTGGGAAACTACTGTCACATATGGTAAAACGACATGTTTTCTCACATCAAACTGGAAAAATATATATTTGAACAGAGGAAGGGGTCTCAGATGTCACCTTCCAAGTTTTTATAGTGCAGTATCTCCTGGTGAGAATGGCTAGAGTCTCACATTGGAGAGGGATTCAGACTTTGATTACCCCTTCTGTTACTAAACAGACACTCGACATCTACTTTAGATCGGAATAAGCCTTTCAGTTTAGAAGGGAAATGTATTCAAGATCCAAAAAGTTCAATTGTCTTTCTTAACACTATTTTAATATGTGCTACAATTGAAAAAAGAGGTTGAAGAATTCAAGCTTTAAAATTGATAGGACAACAAATGGAGAAGAAAGCTATCTAAAAAGTCCACAAATATTGTATCAAAGCCCATTTGTTTTCCTACAAGAGGCTGATTTCACTTCTCTAACTGCATGTCCTGGTGATGATATTGATGTTTCTAAAAGATTGAGCTTGCTGCAGAAGTGTTTCTGTACCGTAGCATCACCACCATGGCTTGACTCCAAATGTTGGATCTTTGGTTTCCAGCAACTGAAATGCTGGAGGCCTTTGTTGATTCTTCCCTCCTGCAAGGAAGGTATCTAATCTTTTCATTCCTGGTAACCTTTTCTAATCTTAATTAATCTAATGACATCCTGCTTTCTGCTGTCATTGGTGCAGGAAGGTAGTTTCTTTTTCCAGCTGCTCACTAAACATAATTATTCCTTTACGGGGAAGCTCTGACAAACGGGCTTGTCATAATCATTGGCATAATTGCATCATCCTCTTCTTCCCCACTACCAGGAAAACTACACAGAATTTACAGGCAACAGATGAAGGCTATGATCACCTCCGCAAAGATCCTGATTCACCACAGATACCCACAACAGTTACAGTAAATGTTGGTTGCCACTAATGAGCCCTTTGAGTAGGACTGCAACAGCTCAAGCTGTCTCAGGAATACAATCACTCCTAACTTTCTGCATTCAAAGAGGTCACATGAAGAAAAGGAAAATGATGCCAGGCGTCTTACCTTAGAGGCAACAATCAGAGATCTCTTCCCCACCGGGCAGACCACCATCAGCCAGTCAGTGTCCAGTTCCGACGGCACGTCCACCAGCCACTCGGACAGCATGAGCTAAAGAGCAAAAATAACTTATGTTAAAGAGCCCAAGAGTAACAGAGAAAAACTTATGCTCAAACACACCAGAGCTCTAACTGAAGAGCTCATGCGCTCCCTGCTGGTCAGAATAAGACTGCGGGCGGGGTCATGCTGGCCAAAGGGTCAGAATCGCATCAAAGCACTGACCTGGTTTGCATAATGCCTTGGCAGCTTCCTCCTCTCGATCTCCATTCCCTCTTCCTCCGCGTTGACATCTTTTTGCCCTTCTCCCTCGTCCTGTTTTTCCATGTCTTCCTCCCCATCGCTGTCGGCCCCTGTCCAGTCCCCATCAGCCAGGCGCCGCGCGTGGTTGACGTAGTTTAACCTTTTGCTGTCGTTGGCAAAGGGGGGATAAAGACGTGCTCTGATGGTTATGAAGACCAAGGAGTACTTTTCAAGCATATGGCTCTGGCAGCTCTAAACATTTGAAAAATGTCCTGATTCTGAAGAGCTGAGCATTACTGTGTATGCAATATTAATACTTTCTGGGTAATGAGCCTTTACCCTTTACTTTAATTATCTCCTCAAGTAAACAATAACGTGGGGGACGGCCTGTAAGATTGTATTAATCCTTAAAATGTGCACTGCTTGCGTGTTAAGAAACATTAAATGTGGAGGACATTCACGTTTTCTGCAGGTCAAGAAAACGCCGGCGCCGCTCGCTCTGCTCCAGCACGCTGTACTTGCTCTTGTACTGGGCCAGCCGAGGGTGGGGGGCAGCTGTGCTGTTGGGCTGCTTGGACACAGCGAAGCTGGTCGAGAGGGCTTGGGTCAGGTCATCCATGAGGACACTGAAAAAACAGCCACAGGTGGTAAATCTGACAACTTCAGTTTATATCTGATGGATACACTCCCAGTACTGGTTAATGTATGCAAAGCAAGAGGGGCAGATGGGGTAAAACATAAAGAGTGCATGAATATATATTTATACATATATAGTGTACAACGTTTTTTTTTAAGTTAAATGACTGTCACTACTGTATCATAAAATCCTAATTTTTTGCAAACGCCTTCAAAAAGCTGCTCAAATCTGGTGTGAAGAATAAAGGAATATTTTATGGTCTTATATTATAAGTGACATTTCATTCTTTTTCCCTTTACTCCCACGTTTTTCTTGTGGGATGCAGTGACACAGCCACAATTATAATTTCCAAACAGGCAATGAGTCATTTTACACATAAACATCCCACCATATGGATATTTTCGATAGGGCATTCCTGTCAGAGAAATACATTTAATTTATTTCAATCCATCGTTATGTGTTACTGTTCTATGAGTGCAAAGAGTAACGGCAGCTAATATGGGAATAAGGATTTATGCTGAAAGTAAATTCAGACATAATTCCGCGACAGAACGACCCATGGTCTTTCGGTAGTCTTAACCGAATTGGCCTGTGATGAGAAAGCTAGGGCACAATTATGTACCTTATCGCCACATGTAGATGGCCACATATTTTAGCAGCTAGCTACATGCTACACCTGCTAACACAATGTAGAGCAACAAATAGCTAACAACCCTGTCTCCTGAGCGTTATGTTGCAGCTTTGAGCTACAACAGCGATACGGTTAAAGAGTAAAAAATAATGTTTTCTATGCGATAAATGTACGAGTAGCTTAATTTAAAAATGTACCTGGGGATCCGGAGGCCGCTGCTTTGACGTCACGCTGTCGTTTCCCCCTCCCCTTCTTTAGCAAATTCTAGTTGGCCAACCAAAAACGTCAACTATCCCGGTGTTTAACACATGACAAATTACACAAGTCGAAATAGTCTATCGATGTGCACACACATAAACACGGTATGCGCACATAAAACGTATTAAACTGTATTAAACGTGAACCCAAACGTCAGGGCTACGTCAAGTCTTTTTTGGCAGTGAAGTATATGTGCATAGACACAGAAAACAGCTTAAGTATGAGTTATGTCAATACAACAAAAATGGGGTTACTTTTCTACCTTCACGTTTAAACAGCCACTGTTTCATTTGTCGGTATGAGAACGAACCTTCTTAAATTTACAAATAAATTATATAAATATAAAACCCGAACTCCAAACTATCATGTTGTAGGGTTTTTCAAGTGGATGCATTCGAAAATGCATTGTCACAACCCTTTATCCCAGAAGTCGCATTTTTCTTCCACTGCCTTAAAAAATGGCCATGCTGTGAGAACAATCAACAATGGTAATTATCACCATCTGAGGGCTTGATTTCATAAAGTGTCTTTGGTGTTTTGTAAACGGCGACGTGCGTTTAAGTTTGCTCCTCCTGTCGGGGGCAGTGTTGGTCCTGTTTCTCCTGTTTCAAAAAACATAAAGGAGCTGATGAAAAAAAGGCGAAGTTGCCTCCAATTGTCTGAGCTTCACGTCATGGAAACAGTTACTTTGTCACCGCTCGCTGAGAAATAATATGAACGCAAAGATAATGGTCCGCGGTGAGTGATTTTTTTCCCCTTTGGATTCTTTGGCTTTTTACTTGGGAAATATGAGGACCGAAGATGCGCAGTAACCTGTTTACAAGGAAAACGCAGCAAGTTTCAGTCTGAGGAAAAGCAGTGCGTGCTCAGAATGCGCTGGGATACCATTACTCATCCCTCTGTTTTTCTTCGAGCCGGGCGACTTTGTCTCGGAAATACGCTGATCTCGGATCGTTTTTAGGCTCAGCGATGACAAACAAGTGTCTGATAAGTAAGCGTCGCGACCCAACATCCCAATTCGAGAGGATTAAAAAGACCATCGGTGAAATTCGGAGGGAGCTTTCGTGGTGAAAACAGTTTTTGTTTTGAACCTGTTGTGGTTGTAATGTGAACGGAGGTACATTGCCCTTCTTTAAAGAAGGCGCTATTATTTTAATTAAATCTCAAAAGCAGCCTTAGATCTTAAGTAACAACACAATTATTTAACATTAACCTCGAGGAGTTGGTATTGTTGTCATAAGTCATTGTTGTAGAGGTAGTAGTTTCATGTGACTTTCCACATCAGAATTTTAGATTTAAACTCAGTTCATTTCAGTCTGTTGCACACCCGATCCCTTACCTGAAATGTAACTTGAGATGAGTTTAAATAATACAGGAAGCCAGTGCCCAATGTTTTCAGAACACCATTATCAAAGGCAGTGGCATCAGCATAATCTAGGCATGTAGATGTTTATAGTTTAGGACCCTCTCATCAAGATGTCAGTGAAAGCCAAAGCTATTTACACTTTTTTAAGTGAAAACAAAGAGGAGATTAGCATCCAGGAGAACGAGGAACTGGTTATTTTCGATGAAAACTCTGTGGACGGCTGGTTCCAAGGGGAGAACAGCCGAGGGGAGAGGGGTCTTTTTCCTGCATCTTACGTGGAGATTATTCGCACTCGCTCAAACTCCAATGTGACCGACTGCTCCATAAGTCCGGCTGGCTCTTTAGGAAATGATTCCTCCTATTTCCCATCCACCCCAAACACCTCGCTTTCTATGGGGCAGATTGATGATGAAGATGATTATGATGATTGGGATGACTGGGACGACAGATCCACAGTTGTGGAGGATGCTGATAACACAAGGAGTCCTGGAGCGAATGGACATATCTATCAAAGTCCCCTATCCAACAACCCCAATGTGCACTATAGGCCAAAGCAAATATCCAGGCAAGACAGCATCTCCAGTTCCAGGAAGGGAAGTATGGTGGGCAGAAACTTGAACAGATTTTCTAGTTTTGTCCGCTCAGGGGTAGAGGCGTTTGTGCTTGGTGATGTCCCCATGATGGCAAAGATTGCAGAATCGTACACTATTGAGATGGGTCCCCTGGGGCCCCGATGGATGGAGAACCCACAGCCTTTTGTCTGCTCTGTTGAAGACCCCACCAAACAGACAAAGTTCAAGGGTATCAAGACCTACATCTCGTATCGGGTAACGCCGAGCCACACGGGGAGTCCTGTCTACAGACGCTACAAACACTTTGACTGGCTGTACAACCGCTTGCTTCACAAGTTCACTGTGATCTCTGTTCCTCACCTACCTGAGAAGCAAGCCACAGGCCGATTCGAGGAGGACTTCATCGAGAAGCGCAAGAGGCGGCTGATACTCTGGATGAACCACATGACCAGTCACCCAGTCCTCTCTCAGTACGAGGGCTTCGAACACTTCTTGATGTGTGGAGACGATAAACAGTGGAAACTGGGCAAGAGGAGGGCGGAAAAGGACGAGATGGTGGGTGCACATTTCATGCTGACCCTCCAAATCCCCAATGAGCACCAGGACCTTCAGGATGTCGAGGAGAGGGTAGACAACTTCAAGGCCTTTGCCAAGAAAATGGATGACAGCGTCATGCAGCTCACACACGTGGCCTCGGAGCTAGTGCGTAAACATCTGGGTGGTTTTAGGAAGGAGTTCCAGCGGCTGGGGAATTCCTTCCAGTCTATAAGTCAGGCGTTCATGCTGGACCCTCCCCACAGATCCGACACCCTTAACAACGCCATCTCTCATACTGGCCGCACCTATGAGAACATTGGAGAGATGTTTGCAGAGCAACCTAAGTATGACCTCTTCCATATGCTGGATAAGTTGTCGCTCTATCAAGGACTGCTCGCCAATTTTCCAGACATCATCCATCTACAGAAAGGTAACAATTAAAACATGAAAATTTCAGTGTATGTGGGTCTTATAAGTGTTCTTATGGCGTAGAGACTCTTTAAAAGGGAAGCAACAGGACGATCGGCTCCATGAGATTGCACAAAAACCTTCCTGAGACTGTTTTTCATTCCAGCAGCTTGTCTGAACTTGATAATTAGCCACAGCCTTCCTGTTAAAGTGGATAGTGACTCAGTCACTGCAGCCAATGGGGAACATGATGACATTTATGTCACATTAGTTAGAGTTTATCAGAGTATACAGTTAAAAGTAGAAGGTGGAGACCTTAGTAAATTAGATTTGGTGATAATGCTGCACATTTAGGAGTGAAATTCAATGCCAAGTCAGTCCTGCTGCAACAAACAGTGAAGACTACTATTTCATAGAATGTATTATGCATGATTATGCTCCACTATAAAATCTGTTCACTCAGTATTATGAATGATATGTTCAGCCTTTACCTCTGTTACCTTTCCATCCCCAATCAAATATACATACATCATCAAAAGCCAATTACTAAATCCTGTGAGCATTATCTATGTGTCTCTCAGGGGTGATTATTAGGCCACACATACAGTCACACACCTATGCATAATCTCTCCCTTCACACTCTGGAGTTCGACTACCTGTGCAAACAAGTCTGCAGAGATGAAGAAGTGATGTTCTTTTAGAAAAATGTAATCAGTTGCAAGCAGGATTTGTCAGTTACCAAAGTACAAGCAAACAAAAGTGATGGTTTTAGCTTCTTAAAACACCTTGGATTATTATTTGGAATTAGGTTTCTGTGAAACGTCACCCTCAAGGTTTCTGTACTTGATGGACTAATAGATTATCAGAGAGGGATTGTGCATGTAACAGCCATCATGTCATAATGAGTAGCACATTTAAAGGAAGTCATGCTACGTTTCCATTTAAGTGAATTAATTCATTCCTGACACGATTTGATTGTTTGCGATGCAGATGTCAAACCCAGTTTTCACAGGTGATTTTGTCTGATGTAGTCCAAAGGTGATTTAATGGTTAACTTTACTGACCTGAAATGACAAAGTGTGCCTTTCATACCGCGGCAGCTACTGTAGCTTATTTGAATACATTATCATAGTTGCGTTTGAGTAGATGTATTCGGATATCAGTTGTTAGATTTTCTGAACAGATACTTCAAACATGCAGTGCCGTTTCTCAGACAAATAACACATCAGCTGATGGGAGTGTGTTAAGGAGGAAGGGATGGGCTGCTACCAAAGGGGACGCAGTAAATGCTGCAGTATATCTCCAAGAAACAGCTGGCTCTTATTATCACAGCTTTCATCAGTGATATGGCTGAGCTTATTAAATTTGGTCACTCCACCCTGGAAAAAATTGGAAAAACCGAGCTCTCTCTATGAAATAAAAAGGCACTTTCCAAATGGATATAAAAAAGTGCCTTTAGCTATATCACCCGTGGTTCAGTCTAGTTGTTCAGATAAGTCGTACCCTCACAATGAACCGTTGAACAGTGTAGCTCATGGTGGCTAATGGTAGCTAACTTTGTGCTGCTTTGTTGTAGCAGAAGTCGCTGAGTCACTTCTCTTCTATTAGCTTTTTTATCAATTTGTCATTATAATTTGTACCTTTAACTGTTGACAGTGCAGACCCAGATGAGGACAAAAAAGGGAAAGATGGGATACACTCCTGTAAAGTAGACACATGGGATATTTTAGTTTTTTAGCTTTGTACAGCTACACATTTTTGTTGATTTTCGCTTCCAGTTTTTGAGGAGACATTTTTTTGTGTCCAGATTCAGAGTTGATTATGTGTCACTTGTTAAGATAAAATAAACAACACAGTTCTTTTTTAGACAAATAGGACCCCTTGCTTTAGTTATTTATTTAACCAGTCCTCAGGTAAGGGTTCAGCCATCTTGGCTTTTCTTTGAATGTTGGCTGCCTTTTAACAGTCTCTGTCAGGGGGACCCTGAACATCTTCAATAATGCACATGCTTTGTGAAGGATTCTTCACGCCACAAATTTTGAGTCCACTTATTGTGTCATTTTGATGACTTAGCCTTTTGCCCTTGTTTATTTTCCATAAAAACACATTTTGGCCACCCACCCTTCAATGGACATTTCTGATGAGGCCTCATTGAATAGTATATAGATTGGGTATTAGGACAGTTTGTTGATTAGTCAGTTGTTTCTCTCAGGCTTTGCAAAAGATAATTGTTTTTTTTCCAACTTCTTCGTCTCTTGTCAAGTGTTCTACGTCTTTTGCAGGACGTCGTGATTTGTCTGTTTGGGAAGCACTTATCTGGAAACACTACAGAGATGTAACTATATGAAGCATTCTGCTGGTGTCCCTCAAAATATATTTGAAAAGAGTTCTTTGCTGAGTTATATATTATATGTAGGCCATAAATAGCTCAGCAAAATGACTTGATGAGGGGAAAAGCAGTCAATGTTCATAGAAAAACTTTGAAAAACATCTGCAAAGCATGGATTTAGATAAAAAGAAAGACAAGATAAAAGATTTCAAAAGTGTCTCTGCCTGAGGAAATGAGATCTACTCATCTTGTTGAAGGGGCAGACATATTCATATTTATTCATATTAATAAGCTCTGTTTGGATGACCTCTACTCTCAGCCATTACCAACTCCTGCTCACGAGGAGAGACCTCTTCCCTATCTTTCATCCTCCCAGCCGATCCAGATAAATCTCCTCCATGTGACTGGTGTTGTGCCGAATCAGAGACAGCTGTGGCAACACAAAAACTGAAGTCAGCCATTTCCGGTGCACTCTTCCTCCTCCTCTTCAGCCTCTTATTGCTTCCCCCCTGTCTGGCTTCCCTGGGGTCTATCCAAACTTTATACTGGGATTCCTGTGAACTAGAGGGATGGCTTCAGAATGTTGTGATGGGCAGCGACTGCATGGGTCAAAGCTGGAGAACGGTTTTGTTCTCACTGGTCTCTGCTTTCTATCTTCACATCTGGTTGCTTCTTTTCATTTTTACCGTTACATGCATTCACCCCAGAACCATCTGCCTGGGCACTTGCTCGGGTTCTAGTAACAGGGGAACATAAATCCTGTCTGATGTGGAGTCTGAACCCTTACAGTGCACTGCAGTACTTTGAACCCCTGCCAAAGCAATTCCCACAGTTACACCCTGATCCCATTTGAGTATAATTGAAAGTCCTCATTTAGGAGGGTTAATAACATTTCATTGTTGTAGAATAAAGGCCTTCTGAGGCCTTTGTGTGTACGAGAGATGTGAGTACTACAAACTACACTTATTCAGCCTGCAAGACGCACTTGCTTGCTGGTTTTTCTGGTTTCTGAATTGGATTAGGCTATCTCCTTTTCAGTGTTTGCACCCACTTTGCTAATTGCACAAAATCGCATACCATATGCTGGTCTGGTCTTTATCAGGCCTGAACAACTATGCGTTATCAGTAAGAAAGGATTAATTTAACACTGATGTTAATTTGTGTAAAGCACATTTTGGTGTGTTTTTCACTTGGCAACAATTGCAGCACTGGTCTGAAACACAAAGCGCCTCTTATACAGTAGGTTTGAACTCATATGAAGGAAAGTCACATATGACTTTCTGGTTGCTGTTTGTGCAACCAGAACCTCCATAGTGCAAGTATCTTTGCATACAGATTTGATCACACACCTAAACCAAACCTATATGTCTAACACCCCACAATTACCCTCTCCTTCTATAATATGTGGTAAAAACACATAGACTGTTGTAATTATTTTCAACTCTTTAATGTTTCGTGAACATTTACAACACAGTGGCTTGTTATTATGCAAATTAGTAACACCAGTATGTAAGTTAATTAGAATTCAAATTAGGATAATTACTCATTAGAGGATACAGTCGTGACTGTGAACAGAGTAAACACTTATGTCAAACTATATGTAAATACAAAAAGAGTATGGAACTTGCCCATGACACATTACAGTATTCTATTAACTTTATCAAAAATGGTCCTCTTACGTCGGCAAGGGTCTGGCCATTGTTGTCTAGTAAATAAACATAGTGTGCTGCTGAAAAATGATAGGGAAGCCTATCCCAGCTGACATAGTGTGAGAGGCAGGTTACATCCTGGACAGGTCACCAGTCCATCTCAGGCCTGGGTACACAGAGACAAACACTCACATTCACTCCAAGGGGCAATTTAGAGTGTTCGCAATATTAATCAGTTGGGACAATTGTTCTGCTCACTGAAGTTTGCAAAGGAAAAACCTGTTTGCAAAGGAGGTGGTGAACTGCTTTGATTCTCAAGACATTTTCAGCCTGGTCAAATATCTGAAAAATGACCACTGATGGAAAAAAACCCATTATTGACAATAGATTCGTACATTTTATGAATCTGTTTTAGATTTTTTTTTCCCCAAAGAAAAGTTAAGAATAATGATACTGCACACCAAAACTAAAGGCCTCTCTTGCCATTCCACCTCTCTGATCTGAATGCAAAGTTCCAATAATATCCTCTTACAGTATGTTGCCCTTTAGTTTACATTAATTGTACAACACCTTCAGACTCTGCAACTGAATATCTTTCTGTAACTCGATTGATAATCTAATACTGTATACACTACAAGGTACCTTAACCGGAGTAACTTTTAATCATTCGTGAGAACAGCATTTCGTGGAATCCATTGCGACACCTACTTTAAAGTTGTTGTTTAGTATTGTATTTCAGTTTTGGCTTCGTTGGAAAATTCCACATGAGATCACCGCAGTTGAGGGGCCCAGCTTCTCAAATCATACATCGTGAATGACAGAACGAACCGCGAATCAGACTTTATATGCTCTGCTTTGATCTTTCCAAGTCTTTTTCCTTTTACTTTCACATTGCTTTCGAAGTGTAGAAAGTGTTTTCCCTTTTCTCTATTTCAGCTGTTTTAGAACATAGTAAAACCTGGAGTAATCCAGAATAGAGCATTACTCAGGCTGAGAATGAACTTGTTCTCATGGGATGAATCTAACCCTCCAGGTGGACTATCG